GGCGAATTTTTGTTTGCGTTGGTGGTGGATTTTCTACATTTTTGCAAAGGATATTGTATTTTTATATTTAACAAAAATAAAATGAAAGTCACTAACTGACCGGACTTTTGTTAGTCCCCTTGTATATATAAAGTTTCAATCAAAAATTCGTCAAAATTCAAGTAAACATTGCCACCGAAAACCATTGAAATCGGTGGACTACATACGAGTATTTCATATAACTCCGCCGAACTAGTTTTTCAGATGATGAGAATTAATATTCAATTTTAAAAAGTAATACCAAAAATTTGATATAGTCATGAAAGTTATAAGGCCTTCGGATGGCCAAGCCAGCACTTCTTTCCAGTTTAGTAATAAATTTAATTTTTGCTCAAAATTCAACCTTTTATTGATAGCTTTTGTAGTTACCCATCAATTCCTCGAACTCCATATGTTTGCTCGTAATTAAATACACACCAGGCACGAACGCTCGAACAACTTAAACGAATTTAATTTGATTTTAATATCTGTAACACTCGCTGCTATACGAGTATACATGCACATAAGTAAATATGGCCATATGTACTCACGTTTAAGCGGTTGTCACTGCGGGACCAGCCAACGATACAATTAAGCCAATCACACACACACACACACACATATACACACATACACTAATCCAGACACACACTTGAACTGAAAAGTATGTATGTGCTGTGTATGTATGTATGTATTTATGTCCATGCTCATACTAAATATTCCACTTTAATATCCGGCGAGGCGCCGCGAAGAAGTGAAATGTGCCACTCAGTATATGACATATACACATATATACAATATATTTACACATTTAATGATGCATATTTGTAAACGTATATGTGTGTGTTGTACGTTTGGAGAGTTTGTTGTTGTGGCCAAGGGAATAAACTTATCGATTTTCAATGAATCAAAATGTTACTCAATTCACCAGAGTAAAACCGCCCAAGGGATTATCCAACAGGTGGTATGGGTAGAGTACTTCAATTAACTCACCTTCTCTTCCTCCTCCTTCCTCACATAGATATGTATTTGAGTACTTACATATGAATGTATGTACATTTCACGATGTTTTCCATTTTTGAGTATTTACAATTTAAAATTCCCACATTTACTTCAATTTGTCTGCAAGTGCTTTATCCTTCATAAATGTAGATATGTGCATACAATACATTTACGGTGTTCTCCTTTAGCTCTGCAAGTGATTGCCCGTCACTTTGCATATGGCAGATATGTTACATTTATTGTGTGCGAGCTTGCGTGCGTGTGTGTGTGAGTGCATGTGGGCTTGTGAACTGTCACTACTTTCCATCACTGCTGAGTGTTGTTATCAACTTGTACGAGTACCAACTTTTGTTTCTTCTTCTACTACTACGCTCTCTTAATCGACTGGTGTTGTTGTTGGTCATGCAGAAAGTATTAAAATCTCGTTTACATCCATTGGTGTCGCTCAAAAACGCCATTAATGGACCATGAATGGCAATAAGATTAAGCTGTTGAAGTCAACTGCACAAGTGTGAGTGCATACACTCGTACATACGTACGAGTACATACATATGTATTACAAAATTCATAAGTGCATTCGCATGTAGATTTTCTTCTGTCCAAAAGCAAACTCGTCCGTAGCGACACATGGTTATGTATTGTAGTATTTAAGGTGTTTTAAGGATTAATTGGTCAGTTGGGAATGCCATCACAACGATATACTTCACTACACTACACTACAGTGCACAGTAAGGGTGGCATGTGCTTGTGAGTAATATTATATAATTTTATTTGAGAATCTACTTCGGGTTAAAGGATTAAAAAATACATATGTACATATTTAAACAAAATTTTAAATTTTATTAAATTTCAGTCTTCAGTATAAATATGCTTCCTGTGTTATAATCTAAAAATACACATAAACATATCCTGACATACGTTTCTACACACATGTGGGTACACGTGTTTGCTTAAACATGAATTTATTGAAAAAACTTTTCATCTTCTTCTATCATTGTGTGCGCCTGACTGAATCCTTTTATGAATTGAGCTGTCGCAGTGCGAAATTCATTGATAAGGTCGGGCATTGTTCACTTAACACTACGCGTTGAGGGTCATTTATGTATATGTATGTATTTTAAAAACTTCAAACATGTATGTATGTATGAATTTAGAAATCATTAAAATTATTATATTTTGAAAGAAATTATACAATAGTAAGTTAATTTATGCAAATCGCATTTTTCTTTTAAGAAAATAATTTAAACCATAGATGTTGAGAACTAAAAATATCATGCTATTTCTAACAAAATCAGTAATTTCAATTAAAAATAAATTATTTCCATAAATTAAATTTATTTATAAAACTAAGATGTACTATTCTGTATATACTTGGTAAAGTAAAAAGTTCGTTCGGTTTTTATCTAAGAGATGGCGGTATTGACCATAGTACTAGCGTTACGTGTCGCATCATGTCATACCATACGGCCCTGAAAACTTGTTTATTCGCGTTAAAAGTTTATCTTTGACAGTTTTTCGATTGATTGACTCAGTACGTTGTGAGCGCTCGTCAAAAATGGACACCAGCAAAGAGAAAATTCGCTATGTTTTACAATTATTTTTCGCTCAAGGTGAAAAAGTACCCAAAGCTGCTGAAACAATTAATTTAATTTATGGGCCCGGTACTGTAAACGAACGTGTAGCACAAAAGTGTTTTGCTAGGTTCCGTTCCGGTAATTTCGATGTCTAAGATGCACCACGCGTCGGGAAGCGGCCCAGAGACGGTTACCAAAACCTCATAGTCCGGACCTGGCACCAAGTGATTACCATCTTTTCCTGTATATGACGAAAGTCCTGTGAAAATTGGCCCTCCGGATTTTCTGCCAATATTGACGCAGCCTTCTACGAGGGGGGTATAATGAAGTTGGCAAGAAGTTAACGGACAAATGCACAAAAAGTTATAATATTTTGAAAAATCAATAAAAAAACCGGGCGAACTTTTTACTGGACCTAAATAAAATGAATCGCCGAATTGTATGTGAACAACTCTAGAATGGTTGGACAACTTTGTTTAATTTTGATCTTAAAATATTTATAAAAGGGAAAGGAAGATTGAGGCGTTAGATACATACGCGAATGTACCAAGGACTGATCTATTCGAAAAAATTATGTTCACCGCATCTGTTTTGCTTTGGTTAACAGAAATACAAGTCTTCTCTTCGGTATTTGAACCAGTGATCGATCTATTTGAAAAAATATACATAAACATGGTTGGTGTTTGGTTAAATTTTTGGATTCTATGTGAAAATGGGGTACTTTTGTTTCTCGTATGTTCACTACGCAAAGCTTTTTTCTGAGGCTTCGGGCTACAAACATAGATCTGAATGGTGCGTTTGCCTTACTTCGAGGCGCTCATGATCTTGATAAGCCAATATGTGACACAAGCATCCATATGCGTAGTTAGAACAATAATATTATATAAAAAAATACCTTAAACTTCGTAATATGATGATGCTTAATTATTAGGTACAAAATACAGAAAGACGCAACAAAATGTTAATTTTACAGGAAAATTCATTCAAAACTAAAGGCTCGCAATAATCGTGAATTTTTTTTATTTTTTTTCTCTGATGCAGTCGAGTCCTCATAACAACTTTTCAAGTCATAGCATCGCTTTAACGGTATCTTTGCCAAATCATTTTTGATCTAATGTTCTGAATATAAAAAAGTAGTGTCTACTATGATTTAAGATTAGATTATCATATAATTTTAACTTTTGTAAGGTTAGAAGGGAAGAATGACCGCAGTTAGAAAAGATATTTTTTTAAATAAAATTGCTATTGCAAAATGCTGGATTTTGGTTAGATCAAGGCTGTTGCTGCCGCAGTAATTTTGAGCAATTATTATTTGTTTGTAACCGTTTCCAAAAAAGTTACGTATACGCACAGTTGTCCAAGTGCGAAGTAAGCAGCATCATCCCTTGATTTGTTTGAAAGGGAAACCCTCCGTCTATGCATGATGAACGGAGGAGCAGAAGACCTTCAATTGTGATGCAAGGAAACTGTTATTTATTATTTAAAAATTGTATTTTGTCGAAAACGGTAAAAAAAATACATATGAAAAACTTGCAGTCCCGAAGTTTCTTGTTAATACCAGCATTTCCTGATATATTGAACCCGATTCCTTTCTGTGGTCGGTTCACTATACTTATCGTTCTGTTGTCTTTTTCATTTCTTCATTTTTTTGACTTTCTCTAAAACCCATAAATAAATCTTTAATAAAATTAAATTTTTAAATAAATTTGTGGCAATTTTTTAAAAATATCTAGTGAGCATAAAGAGGTCAGTATGCTAATCGTTTTCAATTTTTTTTATTGGTGTTGTCGCCACTTACGCGACTATAACCGCATCAATTTGAGCGGAAATTTATCCCTTCTTTTCGCTGTATGGCGTCAGTTGGAAATACAAAGTGAAAACAGTTCACTTTCCACCTGAACCTTCCAGAGTCTGTTGTATTCGCCGTTGCCAATGCACGAAGGCCCATAATCGTTCGCAAAACTTTTCTCTCGAAGTATTCGAATGCAGACTCATCAGAGTTAAGAACGGCCACGCTTCTGAGTCATATATAGTTATAACTATCGAGATTGCGATGACTGTTTTATGATGAAAGAAGATATCTCGTCTCGTCCTTATTCCCTACCAGACCCATGACAAACGTTTTACTATAATTTAATTCTCTTCGTGGTTATATCGACCGGTGAAGAATTGCCCTACGTGTCTTATGTCCTCAATTGATGATGTCTAATCGAAATATAATTGCAAGTACATACATAATACATATACTCACTTATGCATGTATGCATACTCACTCGTTTATGCAGGTACAATATAAGCTTTAATAAGCCACTCAAATGTTATGCTACTTATGTATCGATTTCGAGAATCCTATAAATGATTAATTTATGTTAAGGGAATTAAAATAATATTTCTTTTTTTTTTCAGATATAAAACCTCGGCAGCGGGATGTATGTCTAACCGAAGATTGTGTACGAACAGGTAATGATTAAACAATTATTATTATTTTTATTTTAATTAGAAAAATAATTAAAGTCATAAAAAGTAAAAAGAAAATAAGTAAAGTAGAAACAAATAGCAAATAAGTCTTAAGCAATCCGATTGTTGTGAAAGTTAAAAAACTTTAAATAAATCACAAATAGAAGATGAAGTAAAGACTCAATCGTTCTCATGAAAATATCACCAAAAAACTAGTGCTAAAAATATGATAACCGTTATTTTTAGCATTAATAATAGAAATATATACTAGTGTAGCAAAAGGTAATCCATTATTTCTGAATTATCCGTTTGATGTCAATATGCGCCGTTTTGCTCGATTACCCTTTATTCATTTTGATGGTATAGACACCCTGATACCTATTGACAAAAAATTACGATAATCGATTTTCACAAGCTTTCCTTGTGGACAATTCTTCGCCTTAGATAGATAGTACGGAGCTTCGGGTGAGTCTTTATCGATGTGTCCTGCTGCCTTCAGACAGACGCTTGAGACGGTCCAATTGTTGTTAGTAAAGGTCCGAATTAAGAGTTTGACCATGGGGGAGCAGCTCATTTTGGTTATGATTACTTTCCTATCCCACCAAACACAATACAAACATTCCTGGCCATCAATCCTGGCTTGGAGACCCCTTGTGCCGGTTCACAGCACTTCGACCAAGACGGGTTTCGTTTGACGTTGCTGTAAGTGATCCCCTTTTCATTACCGGAATGAAATCGACGAAACGACGATTGGCTGTTACAGATTAGGATCACCAAAGCCATCTATTGCCATAATAATGATTTTATTTTTACTAGACCTAATATTATACATATACATATGTACATATGTAGCATATAAAAACTATATAAGAGTAAGCTACAACGATAACAACCAAATAATGTCACCGATGACAACTGCGACAACCTTTGTTGTCCACAATGTTGTACACCAACTTGTATCTGTCCACCCTTCACACACACACACACACACACAGATGAACATACGTGTATGTATGCACGTGTGCTTCCTGTCTAATGGCCGCATCAAGCGAATGAATGAGTGGATAAAATAAGAATTCACTCAACGAACAACTCAACTGACAAGCTGCTAAAACGCTCGTCCAATTCAAAATGCATTTCATATGTTCTTTCAGACATGTTACAACATGACATTGCCAGCCATTTTGATTGGTGGCACAAACATGTAATTTCCTCGGGAGAAATCTCTGGTGGATTGTTGTTTGGCTCTTGTTAAAACATACATATGTATATGCATACATACAAACATGCTCCGAACATACATATATTTTTCTAAGAGATTTTAAATTACTATGCTTGTTTTTGTTGTTGTTTTCACTGTCACTGATTCGGACTATTGTTAGTTGGACTGTTCATATTGTTGCTTTTCTGTTGCAGTTGTCATTGCTGGTTGTCAAAAGGTTGTTGCCATACATTCTTTTATTGTTTTTGTTATTTTTGTTGTTGATGATGATTATTTCTGCTGTTAGTGTCATGTTAACAAGTTTGTAAAGATTTGTATGTTCCTTTCGGTGTGCATACTCACCTATTGTTCTGTGTGTATTAACTTTGCCAAGATAACCGTTATTTACCATTATACAATTTTAAAATTTAGATGATAAAAAGTTTACAGTTAATGCTTAATGCTTAAGAAAATATTAATTATAATTAAATAGATATAAAAAAACTTTTAAATTTATGAATTATTCTTTTCGCCACCTGATTTTTCATACAGAGTGTAGGCCTTTCAGTTCCTCTGCTTCCGCCGGCAGGTCCTGCATCGAAAGCTTCAAATATTCTGGTCCATCCGATTTACATGAACATGACCTTTTCTGATTAAATGCACTCTGTTTCGTTGCCTTAATATGCCTTAACCTTCTAAAATTTTACTGGACAGACAATCTCGTAAGAGTCGCGGTATCTTATTTTGGGTATTAAGCCTCTGAGTAGTAAGACCTCTTTCCTAGCTTGCGATTCGGTATCGTCTCAAGTCAAAATTGGTTTGCGAAATTTGACTACGCCAAGCACACGGGATTAAATGTAACACTATCGGAACTAAATAGCAATATAAATGTAGATTTGTCACTATCCTGTGAAGCAGTTCGTACTATATCATATAATTACTTTAAATAGCCTTAAAGTTTATTTGTGCAAAAAATGGTTTATTTTCCACACAAATACCGAAATGTTCAACACAAATCCAATAGTTCCCGCGACAGTTGGGTCTTTATACAGGAATGACCCGGACTTTTATTCGACCACGGACTGTCTTTTGTAACCTTAATTAGGTGATTGAAAAAAATAAAATCTTCTTCCAATTCCTCGGAGTTGTATCTCGAAGAGTCGTGTAAAATTGCTTGAACATTGAAGCTCGATACATGGGTGCCACATCAATTAAGTGAAAAAAACAAAGTGGACCGTATGTCAACAGCAATTTCTTTGCTTCGACGGATCAAAAACGAACCTTTTTTGGATCGGCTCGTGACTGGTGATGAAAAATGGATCCTGTACAACAATGTTCAACGCAAAAGAACATGGAAACAGGCACACGAAGGGGCGGAACCGATGTCGAAAGGTGGATTGCATCCGATGAAGGTACTGCTGTGCATTTGGTGGGATATCCGAGGCGTGATCTATTTTGAGCTCTTGCCAGCTGGAGAAACGATCACTGCCAACAAGTATTGTCAGCAATTGGTCGAATTGAAGAAAGCAATTGATGAAAAACGTCCGATTTTGGCCAATCGCAAAGGAGTTCTTTTCCATCATGACAACGCCAGGCCACATGTTGCAAAACCGACCCTGGCCAAACTGAAGGAGATGAATTGGGAAATCATGCCGCATCCCCCATATTCACCCGACATTGCACCTTCTGATTATCATTTGTTTCGATCGCTGCAGAACAATTTGAATGGAAAAAAATTTAAAAATGTGGAAGACGTCAAAAACCACCTTGACACCTTTTTCAACGAGAAACCGCGCGATTTCTATGAATCAGGCATCCGTAAATAGGTTGAACATTGGGAGTGGATTGCCGAACATGATGGCGAATACATAATTGATTAATAAAAGCGCTTTCTTCAAAAAATTTCAATTTTAGTTTGCACTTGAAATCAGGCACGAACTTATGCACTCATCAATATTTTGAAGCTGTTAAAGTAATATAAAATGAATTTAAGCAAACACAAAACAAAGTAAAATAATATTAAATTAAATAAAACAAAAATTGAATTGAATTGAAAAAAAAGTTAATAAAATCAGATAAAATAAAGAAAATAAATAAATTAAATTAGATTAAAAAAATAGAACAAAATGAAACAAATTAAACTAGACTAATTTTTTATTATATAATATAAAGAATATAACATAAATAAAATAATTTACAAAAGAAAATAAAGACAAAGTTTAACAGAATGAACTGTACTATCAAACTATCTGCTGGGCGTATGATTTTGAATCTTGCTTGTTCTTAATTGTAAAATTTTCGATTTAAACATCTTACTTACCAATTACCGATTTTGGTAGAATTAAATGTTTCTTTTTTAATTGGAGATTGTATACATATGCATACATACATTCATACGCACACACTCATTCACATGTAGATGTCTTAAACAAGTGTTGTCTGTTACCTGCCAACTTTTGCACATTAAAACTCTAATGTAAGTTACTTATATCACTCATAATTATAATTCAAACCATGTAGGGGTAATAGATGAAAGTCTGAGATTTAATAAAGTTACTTAGCGAACTTAAAACTTTTGAAAATAAAACTTAACAGCCTCACCTTTGGCAGGCATTTCGCTTTACGAGACGCAAAAGATAACAAACTGCGAAGCGAGTAACTGACAGCGACAATGTGCCGCTAACTCAGTCACATATATAAGAAAATTTACATACATACACGTATGCACACATTTAAACACACACACACACACACACACGCACTAGCATCCCTATGTGCTTCATAAATCGCTGAAAACAACACTTGTTTAACAATGTTCTACAACACCACCGGGCGTATGAGCAACTTACTTGTACAAACCTCGCAAGTGCTCTTGTGTTATCACAGACGTGAATAAAAATATTATATGTATCATACATACATGCAAAATGCCACATACACGCAAACGCAACCCATTTACCCTGACCTCTTTTCGATAAAAAAGATACTCTGCTTCAACTCTTGCGTATTTCCTTGTTTTAAACTGTTCTTAAGTTCAAAATAAATTTTAAAGCTTGCGGAAGCTAGCAAAAGGATGACTCATACACGTACACACATTCGTGCATACAACAAATGCTTAAATGCATGTGAAAACAAACAGAGCATGACTTCTTGTTGGTTTTATACACTCACATGCGCACATATGTTAAACTATTTATATTTGTGTATATGTATGTGGGTGTGTGCGCATTGTGACACTTATTATATTACATTATTACATTAAATGAATAAATAAAACTAAAGGAAACGCTTTTAACTAATTTGCCTTGCAATTAATATTAAATTATTGCATTAAAATGCTACTTTTAACAAGAAGAAACAACAAAAACATCAAATTGTTATAAACAATATTGAAATGAAATTAGAATATACGTATGAGGAATTTTTTGCTTTCATCAATAAAAGTTAGGTTATGCCTGAAACCATTGATCACCGATTCGCCTCATGGTGTTTTCCAAATCGATGGTCGCCAATACTTTTTCTACTAAGTTTCCCTCTCGGGTAGGGAAAACACAAAATTTAACATTATTTATTTCAGTTAAATTTAATTTTCACATCCTTTCCCTGCCTTTGGTAGACAGCTGCAGTGAGGGTGTTTATTTCGACGTTTCAAGGAGCCTAAATTTGTTCAGAGTTGAGGTCAGAGGGAATCATTGGTGCATATTGCTACAGTCAATAGAGAACGATATAGAGCCAAGCCTGAACCATCCTACGAAACAATCAATTTATTCAAGGAAACTTTTGGAGAACGCATTATCCCGCATCGTGGGCCTGTATCATGGCATCCAAGATCGTGCGATTTAACACCACTGGAATTTCCACGGCTTGGTACTTGCTTTTCTAATAAAAACCAATTTTAACAGCTGCTTGGCCACAGATTCCGAGCACTAGCGCCGAATAATCAGCAATGCGTACTACTAATCGAAAGAAAAGAGTTCGATTCCTTGTTCGACCAAAATCCAAAACCAAGCCAAGCGCGTACTTATGACATGAAGTAAAAATTTTTCATAAAAATATTGGAAAAACAGCAGAACGCATACCAAAAATTGGAGGAGGAGATCGGCAGAAACTCGCTTCAGCGGTTACAAAGCGCCAATTATATATAATAAAAGCTCTTCATAAGAATCCTTCAGTTGTGGCTATAAACTATAGGATTGTCCTCGGTATGAGTCTTAAAAGGTGACTTAGGAACTTTATTTAGGATCCGGTGTTAGTTTCAAAAAAGGTTTCACTTGGGCCGGAGGCTCTAACTTAAGTCAAGAAAATAAAATAAACTCTTTTTTCCACAAATCAATTTAACTTTATTTTGGCTACACAATTTTTTTACTCTTACCCAACACTTTTTCAGCGGCTTCATTACTTTCGGCTATGGATACGACAGCGGACCCTTGTACGAATTTTTTCCAATTCGCTTGTGGCACATGGAATAAGATACATATCATACCAGAAGATCGAAGTTCCATAAGTACATTCGAGGTATGCAAATTTTTATTTCAAAATTTTATTAACAAGTTAGTTTTTAGAAAAGAATTCTTAAACTGGAAAAACACTAAAGGCTCAAGACAAAATATATGCTAATTAGATTAAGAAAAGAAGCCAAATTTATTTAAAATATCAAAGCTCATTCGGGGTATTCCACTTCCAGGTTCTATCCGACGAACAGCAGGTAGTACTTAAGGGTGTATTGGAAGAGTCGATTAAGGATGACGACAACATAGCCACAATCAAAGCAAAACAGTTCTATAAAAGCTGTATGGATTTACGTAAGTCCAGAGCTCACTCACCTCAACTAAAACCCAATACTCAATTGTAAATCCCCCGCCTATGTCTTTCGTTTAGCTCAAATACGCAAAATCGGCGAAGGCCGTTTAATGGATGTGCTCAAGTCACTCGGCGGTTGGCCGGTGATAACACCGAATTGGCAGCCGCCCAACATGACCATCGAGCAGTTAATGGGAATATTGCGTGGAGTTTACAGTGAACCAGTGCTGGTCGAACTGTATGTGGGCGCAGATGATAAGAACTCTTCAATTAACATACTTCAAATTGATCAGCCACAGCTGGCGTTGCCTTCACGCGATTACTATCTGAAGCCGAGTAGTGAGAACGATTTGAAGGCCTACCTCAAGTACATGACACAAACGGCAATACTACTCGGCGCGAGTCCGGCGACAGCAGGCAAGGAACTAGACGAGGTGTTGCAATTCGAAATCAAGCTGGTGAACGCCTCGCTTCCCGAAGCTGATCGACACGACACTAGCGCCATCTACAATAAAATCACTTTACCCGAATTACAACGTCAAGTGCCACAGCTTAACTGGACCGTGTTTCTACAAACAGTCTTAGGGCCCGATATTGAATTGTTGCCGGATGAGTTGCTCGTCAGCTACGCCATGCCGTATCTGGTTGAGATGGGTAAAATACTAGAGAAAGCTGACCGACGTGTGGTGCACAACTTTGTCATTTGGCGTCTGGTGATGTCCATAATGGCACATATGATTGATGAATTCCAAAGAGAACGCATCGAATTCCGTAAAATACTTTTGGGCGTGCAATCGGAACGCATGCGTTGGTCGCAGTGTGTGGAATGGACAAATAAAAAGCTTGGTTTGGCGGTGGGTGCACTTTTCATACGAGACAATTTCAATCAAGAGAGTAAGGACACGGCGCTGGAAATGATACACACGCTGAGAGAGGCGTTCAACGAGTTACTGACGGAGAATCATTGGATGGACGACGAAACGCGTGCGGTGGCTAGGGAAAAAGCGAATGCCATGAACGAACGCATTGGTTATCCGGAAATTCTCAATAACGCAACGGAGCTGGCGAAGGAGTACGAAAATGTGAGTTTGTGAGTCCAAATGAGCGAATATTTCGAAAACGGTGGAGGATTCAAAAAAAGTTTTGTGTTAGATTTGTGAAAATACAAAGTATAAGTAGTAGATGGAATTCCAGAACTGTTTCCAACGACTGTCAGTTGGGCTTGCTAAGAGATGGCTCAAAATATTTAACTATTTTTGTTTTCCTCTTCCCCCCCACAGCTCACCATTGTTCCTGATAATTTTATGGAAAACGTGCTTAACATACTGAAATGGGACTCGGAAAAGAACTTACAGTTGCTGCATCAACCGGTCGATAAGGAGAAGTGGACAACCGAACCGGCCGTTGTAAATGCTTTTTATAACCCCAACAAAAATGATATCGGTAATTTTCAACAAAATTACTCTTTTTTTGAGGAATGTTACTTATTTATTTTCTTCTTCCTTTAAAGTATTTCCCGCGGGAATTTTCCAACCACTGTTTTACAGCAACAATTATCCGAAATCGGTTAATTACGGTGGAATTGGCGTGGTGATCGGACATGAAATAACTCACGGATTTGATGACAAGGGTAAGTTCGGATATATTATCTATTTTATAAAAAAGAAAAATACTTTTAAAAGAACGCATGTGAAATACGAGAGTGCATTTTAGACGTGTGGTATTCACATGGGCAATACCTTTACGGAGCTGGTCTTTTAGATAGCTATTACTCGGTTCGGTTCGTGTAATATGCGGTCGACATAATCGCCCAGCAAAGTTGGTATATATATTATTCAAAGTATTGCCTTTCGCTAGCGACAACTTTCTCCCATCCTTCCGGCAATTTTCGGATCCCGGCTCAAAAAAAAGAGTCTTCTTTTGACGTTATCCATGAAGCAATCCACTTTTCCAGTTTTTCGAAGTTGAAAATGTTCATCTGCCAGGCCGTGTGCCATCGAACGGAATAGGTGGAAGTCAGAAGGGGCGACATCTAGGGAATACGGCGGGTGGGGCAAGACTTCCCATTTCAGCGTTTCCAGGCACTTTTTTACCACTTTTGCGACGTGAGGCCGAGCATTGTCGTGTTGGAGGATGACTTTGTCATGTCGCTCTTGATATTGTGGCCGCTTTTCTTTTAACGCGCGACTAAGGCGAATCAGTTGCGTTCGGTAGCAGACTCCTGTGATGGTTTCTCCGCATATGGCGAGAATTAGGCACATAAAAGGACATTTTCGAGCGTGAATAATACGAAAACCACAACAACTGTCGCTGAAACGGCGATGGCAATTCGTTAGGCACTGTCCACACTCACTTTAAAGGCATTATCATCTATGTATTTCAACCAGCCTCAGCCGGTACAGCCACCTATCGGAAAACCTGATAGCAGAGTAACAAAGTAACCCCGAATGAGTACATCCGTCAACAGGAGCACTTGCAGCTGTGTGCAAACTTCACAAGAAAATTTTTTTCAGAGAATGGACACATTAAGAAACAAAGTTAGCGCATTCGGAGTGATGATAATCCACAAGCCACTATTGAGACGTCCTTACATCCTCAAGAAGCCACTGTTTGGTATAGCTTATGTGCAGAAGGAATCAAGCAATGAAGAACGCAATAGAACCATGAGTAATGATTTTTTTGTGATGTGACCGACATTTGGTTTCAAAGAAACGCCGCCATATGTCATACAGCCAACGAAACAATCAGTTTATTGAAGAAAACTTTTGGTGAGCTCGTTATCCCGAGTCGGATTCCTGCCACGTGATTTAACACCACTGGAGTAACTTCCGTGGGCTTATGTAAAGTCGGCGGCCACTTGCCTGAAATTATGACTAATGACTAAAATCTTTATTAAAAAAAAGCAAAATTTAATTATATGCGTTTTATTTCTTCTTGAAAGCCACATTTCTAAAAAAATAACACCCTTTAACACTCTTACGCCTCTCGAATTTTCTTTACATTAATATTTTTCTTTATTTTACCTCTCCTCCCTTAGGGCGACAATTCGACAAAGATGGCAATATGATGCAGTGGTGGAACAACGCCACCATCGAAGCCTTTCGCGAACGCACACAATGCATCATCGATCAGTATTCCCGTTACAAAATCGAGGAAGTGGATATGTATGTGAATGGACGCATGACGCAAGGTGAAAACATAGCGGATAACGGTGGACTTAAGCAGGCTTTTCGAGTAAGAAAAAAAAATATTTATTATTTGCAAATATTTTTCAAATGGTATTCATTAAAATTTTCCTACTTCAATTGTAGGCCTATAAAAAATGGGTTAAACGTCATGGACCAGAACCGGAGCTACCCGGTCTCAATCTGACGCACGATCAACTTTTCTTCTTGAATTACGCACAAATCTGGTGCGGTTCAATGCGGCCCGAAGATGCAGTCACGAAGATACGCTCCTCGGTGCACTCACCCGGTTTCATACGTGTACTCGCGCCGCTCTCGAACTCAAAAGACTTTGCCGAAGCGTACAAATGCAAACTCGGCTCGCCGATGAATCCTGTCGAGAAGTGTAGCGTTTGGTAGAAAGTTCGCTCGCTATGTAGAATACATACAAGTGCATAAATGTAGTATGTATGTACGTGTATGTATATGTGTAGTAATGGTAGTGTAAAAACATTTACTAACTAATTAAATAAATAAACATACATACATACATAATTTATATTATACAAATAAATATATACATACACACACATATAAAGAGAAAATCATACATTATAATTAATTCGATATATTAGCACAGTACAGTTGTAATAACGCCGAGGCATACACACATAGATGCATACATATATTGAAAGTAGTTTGTTTAAAAGTATGGAATTAGTATCTAATGATGTAATGAGTTTATTTTTTATAAATGTTTTAAAACATTTTTTAGCTTCGTTTGTATACGAGGATGAAACAAAGAAAAATAAATAAAATATGCTAAAATGAATTGTTAATTACAATTAGCATAATTAAAGTGCATATACATATGTATATATTAGGTAAATAGCATATATAAGTAAACGTCTAAATGCATATATACACACTCCATCAAATAAATATACTGAATCATTTGCTAAATTGTACAATGCAAATACATATAAACATACAAACAGTTATAAAAAGCTTATGAAAGCAAATACATACACATATACACATATAGAATTTCAAATATAGGAATAGGAAGCAGAAGAAGAAACAAACCAAGCATTAAAAAAGCAGATAAAAATGCTTATATATAATATATATGTATACATACACACCTATACATGTATATGTGTAAAGATAAAAATCGTGCACACATGTATACTTAGAATATTGATAATAAGAAATGAAAATAAATATAATACCGTAAATTTCACAAAATTATGAACGAGTTTTTATTCCTAGACGCGTCTGGTTTAGAGATTTGCATTATAAATATATATATGATATATATCTTATATATGATATATATGTATATATGGATTTGTGACTCTTTTCTACACACCAACAACTTTGAGCAGAAATCTATATCAACTTCCTACTCTTTCCCCCCAATAATAAAATTAAACGTTTTATTTTTATAAAAGAGTCTAGATTCACTTTATTAACACAATAAATTAAGTTTTCATCTAAAACTTACATAAAAGATCATTGGAATGATACTTGCATAGTATGTAAATCGTTATCAATCGTCATATATTCTAAAGGGTACTAAATGGTATTTCTGCGCTTATAGAAAATTTAAAGCATTTAAATGTGTGTAAAGTAATAAATCAAATACTTGCATACGTATATACATATACATATTTATATACATTTGAGAATGTAAAATATAATACTAACTAAGGCATACGTATGCAAGTTTCATAATAAGCATTTCGTACCGTTAGGATTGATGATTCCGTTAGTAATATTTTATACATATACCACAGAGTTTACAGTTAAATAGTTACATACGAAAAGTTTGGAATTCAAAAATTCCGAGCACCCATAGTCGGTTTGTCAGTTTTCTACGTTGTTTTAGGAATTACATATAAAGCATATCTGCTTATTGGTATGTAAGTTTATACAGTTAAATACATAAACGCGCAGCTCGTACAATTCCATAAATTTGAAAGTAAAAATTATATGTAGTTATCACACACTTGCATATGTAGGTACTCAAGAAATAATAGCATCCAATCGTTTATCACTGAGTTGTCGTCATTTTGGTCTGTTTACAACAGCATTTTGCCTATACAAACATCAACAGAGAGTTCTATGTTCTATGAAAGCACAGTTTGTGTGGCTGCCAAACGCGGATTTCGGGACCAAGTCTGTTCAGTGGCGCTTGCAAATATTAAATATATGAAATTACCGCCTATATTTACGCCAGCAGCTAGCCAGAATACTATACGCCATTGTGCCAATGTTTCGTGATGATTTATAATTAGTCCAATTACATAAGGCGCTAAGAAGCCACATATATTAGCTGCGGAATTAGTTAGGCCGTACATTGTTCCAGCATAACGTGGACTTAAAGCTATGTGATTCATTTGATTGCCGGCATAGACTGCACCACCAAACGAACCTACACCGGCCAACATTACTGTAACCCAAATCCAATTGCAACCAACATAAGCAGTGGCCAGTAGTCCAATGGACGGTATTATGGACGCTATTGAATTCCATAGTTTATATGAGTTGAGCAGCGAAATGTACCGTTTCTCCAGCATCCAATCGGCCAAACTGGAGCAGGCAATGCCCACTATCCAACTAGTGAAGTATGGTATTGCATTTAGCATTGCGTTTGATTGGATATCGAAGTGCAGAATATTACTCATATAAGTCGGCAGTTCGGTTAGTTGCGTATAAAAAGCCCAGCTCTGACCACATTGTGTTACCAGGATCGCCCACAGCGGCACTGAAGTAAGAATAGAGCCCCAGGGTATTATTTCATTAGTAACCTGTACAACATCACTTTCGGTTTCTGACAATAATTCGTTGTAATTTCGTGGTTGCATTGCCCGTATACTATGTTCGATGTAATCTCGTTCTTTAAAGGATATTCTTGGGTGTATACTTGGCTTATCATACACCAAATACATCCAAAATATAAACCAAACTATGCCCAGTAAACCGAATATGTAAAATGCTGATGGCCAGCCTCCAAGGAAATCTAAAGAGCACAACCAACCAGCCAATGGCATGGATATCACTGTGCCTATATTGGAGCCGGCGTACACAATCGCTGCAAACTTGTTACGCTCCAGCGGTGGTATCCAGTGTGCCAGCATTGCATGCATCGCTGGGTAGGTTACTCCTTCACCCATACCTTCCAACACGCGAACAAGCACTAGCATTGGCAAATCCCAATATGCGGCAATAGGTGTTAGCATAGTGAAAATTGCAGTAATTAGCACACCATAGCCATAGATCAGTTTTCCGCCCATAAGCTCCGCCAACCGGCCACCAGGTACTTGTGTCAAGACATAACCATAAAAAAAGGAACCCAAGACTAAGCCCTGTGTTGCTTCATCCCACACAAAGTCACCCTCCTTCGCTGGAACTGTATTATTAGTTGGTGGTGGCACTGGACACGTATCATCAACACTGGTGTTATTATCTTGCGGAATGGCTGTTTGATTTACCATAGCCACTATAGCTACTGACAAATTAACACGCATTGCGTAGACTACGGCAAATCCAAGGAACCCCATGAAACCGAAAATATGTCGAGCTTTCGGAAATGCACCATCATCTGGAAATGCAAATGAATGAACGTATTGAGGTAAATTGTAAAACACATATTCGCTTTGCTTTAAAAGTCAAACACTTGTTGAAACAATGGTAAAGTGAATGCAAATGCTTAATAACCTTCAATTGCTCTGATGAGAGGCGTATCGGCGGAACTCCCTTCATTTGTATCGGAAACTTCGCTGTCTTCGTTACTGTTGACTGTTCTGCTATTAATGTCTAATTCGTTTTGGAAAGTTATGTCGTCATCAACATAATCTTCAGCTGAATAATTGCGAACAAATCCAGCACCATCATCGCCATCAACCTCAACTGGTGCAGCAACGCCACGCGAATTCTTTGCACGAAGCATTCTCAGCTTATCACTTCTCTGACATTCAAAATTTGCAAAACGCAATTTACTAATTAATTTTTACACATTACACACGACGGCCCTACGAACTTGACTAAATGCAATAAACACGAATTAATTTTGTTTAGAATCGAAAATAATCAACAGAAAAGAGAAAGGAGACCAATTGAAATGCGATAACAGCTGATTCCAATATAGGGATGCCAACAAACAAACCATATCAATTAATCTACTTGAAATTCATTCGGATAAATAATCATAATAATTCATGATTGGAGCAATTTAATTCCTAAATTATTAAAAATTATTTCATTGATAAAGCAAATCATTGGTTTGCGAGAAAATAAAGCGTAGTCATTTCTAGAAATAGAACTTGAAAAGTCTAAAAATCTTCATGCTCTACAAAGAGCAGAAATTTGATTATTTCTAGGTAATAATGTCATTTCCTTTCGAAAGGCAAATATTTGTAAATAAAGCAAATATTTGTAAATACAGAAAGGGTATTTCTGTTAGTCGTAAATGATCAGGAAACGAAGAGTAGAACAACATTATTTTTGCCAGGGTCATGCGGGCACAGACTTTTATAACTATTACTGCAGGTTTATTTTGTTTAAGCATTCTAATCTGATTTGGATATACAAATTTTATTAGGCACATTTTTGGCAGGTATAAAGTTAGTATTAAAAGTACAAAAAATTATATAAATGTAAGACAAATACCTTCCAGCAATCAAGTTTCGTAGGATCCGCACCTTAATCATTAATTACTGATAACTGTCCCAATTGGAAATACTATGTTCCGTTTCCCATTCTTTAATACGAGTGTTTCATAATGGTAGTTATTTTCGACAAAAACGCAACTACTTGGAAGAGCTGTTTGCAAAGGTTCCAGAGACACTTGATAGCAATCAATAAAAATGTTATCAGCTGCTATTTTCAATGCGATTTCATAAGCACTTGCATGATTACTCGTCCAAATGGATGCATTTAAGGGTTTTATGGACTCTTTTCCACACAAAATTATCGACTCCTGAATGGTGCGGAATGTATGTAGCGTTACAATACCATTGTAATCAGAACCCAAATGTTCATGTGTAACATCACAAACTAATATCGGTGTATTGGCGCCCAGCTCATTGGCCGAAACTGTTTCCCAATTATGTTTGGTTATCAAAGCCAGTGCTTTCTTGCGTTCTGCATGTTGAACAGCTTCTGTTGGTATTGCTTTTAATTGTGGCCGAAGACGTTCCAAAAATGCTTTGCGAACAGACTCAGCTACCAAGACAGTAACTATTGCCTCAGCAGCAAATGGAAACTGCAGAGATTGTGCCAAATGATAAGCAGAAGAATCCAAATCTGCCTTATCGCCAACAATCAGCACGGTGGGTGAGCACTTACAGCCAATGTCAACCATCTTTTCTGCAGCCTTTGCCACTTGTCCAATAAAGTTATTATCGTATTCAATATTATTGAGCATATGTTGAGTGATTTTAATAGCAGGCATTGCCGTATTGTGCTGTAAAACAAATGATATTTATTTATTTTTCAGGTTGAACAAATTAATTTTTCTTACCTGTGTTCAAAGTTCTAATTTACTTGCTTCTTTTTTCAATTGATAACCAGGTTTTATTGTGAACTCAATATCCATTGTGAATATCTTGAGAAATTACACTAGGCCTACACCGCCATTCATAAAACAGGCCACAACCAAAGAACGAATATTAATAAATAATTCTTTGCTTCGAGATTTTAGAACGGAATTGAAGGGCGTATGTGAATACTTTCAAATACCTAGATTGTCGTCATGTTACTTGTTATTCATATACGGCCTTCATTATATTTCAGAACTTATTAAATTTATTCAAAATAGTATCTGGCGTATGGCAACGCTACTTTGGATAATGAATTCAGTGATTACGACATTTCTGCCCAACAAATCAGAATCTAGTTGGAACTCTTCGCGGAAAGGTTTCGTGTTTTGTTGTTAAATTCATTCGTTAAAGCGCCATTCGGGATTGTTTTTATTACGTGCATGCATAAGTACAGTGCATATAACAATTATTAAGATACTTAACTAATGATTCTGCGCATTGTATGCAAAAAGTGAAAATAAGATACAAAATAACATGTTAATGTTTATACACCTGTGGCTGAATTGAATTATTACAACAATTTCTTTGTTGTTTTTGTGCGCGAGAGAGGCCCCAAAACGAAAGTGGAGCAAAAACCAAATAATTGCAAAAATACAAACAGCTGTTGCTCATTCTGCTAATTTCTCTGCACATACATAGATAATACGTAGATATCTTTAACGAAATTGCTGCAGCCGATTGTGCAAAGTGTGCGTTGAACTAGGCCAAAAATTGTTAAATATCCACTAAAGTATTATGGCAGACATAAATGAATTGTTGGGATCGCCCTTTGTGCGTGTTAAGGTAAATCTTAAATAGAAAAAAGTAATCGGTTTGTATAACGCCCATAACTCCCCACACAATTGCAAAAAAAAAAAATAAAAAAAAATACGTCTTCTAGATCATAAGTGTATTTTTTTTATGACAAAGAAGCAAATGTAAAATAACCCTCCAATAATAAAAACACTGATGATAACCCAGATCTTGTGATAACAAATTTTCAACCCGTATAGTATGTATATTTATACTAAGATTTAATGTTTGTTTGCACACATACTATATGGTGCATCTCTCAATGCCAAATCTGTGCAAGGTCTGTAAAATACACTACAGCAGCTTAGCGTTATCAGAAATTTTACTCGCTCCTGCTTGCATTTATTACATATGTATGTATGTACATATGTTTATTTGCTTTATACATTAAGCTAGTATATTTATTCAAAATAGCAACAATTAAACGTTTTTACATACATACACATGTCAACTAGCGATGACTCAATGCTTTCATTTTGATTGCAATGAATTGTTAAGCATTGTTGAACTGAACAGTGGGGTCTGTAGGAGACCCCCTGCACTGTAATCACCTTAGTATGTATGTACACACATAGTTGCCCACAAACGATGGTCTATTTAGATGCTCAATTGTGGCTGCATAAAAAAACATGAATCGCAGCCGCAAACATTTAATACGTTCTAGACATTCGATGCGATTGAAATGCGTTTTTTCTACCCCCCACTAAATATGAAGTTTTAATTCATACGCGCGGTTGTATGTATGTAAGTACATTTAAAAATGGATGCATATTGCAGTAGTGATTTATATGGCTTCATCATGGATTTTCCTTCAAACATCAATACGGTTCAAATGTAACTGAAGTTTTATATGCTATTACTTACTCTACAACTTACTACATAGATGCATTACAATACATAGATAAAGTAGACTTTCAATACACTTTTTTTACAGCTTGTCGCATTCGTGCACTTCTTCTTCATTACAAATGCTATGTTTGGTACCTGGGGCCATGGAGCTTATGAATTTTACAATTTCCTCTTTATTATCGCCATGTTCTGGACAATGCATTGCAAGGAATCCATTGAAGCTGCACAAGTGGTAAGTAACAAGTTGTCTGGTGCATGTACATATATAAATACATATGTATGTAACATAAGAAGGTATATATGCATGCATACATACGTCCAAATTTTACATATTTAAGTTTACACATAAATACATATATACATACGTTTGTGTTTTGTATCAGTGATATTATTTTGTAGTATATAAGTTGACATTTTTTATATAAATAACGATCTGTAATATACTTAAAACGTTTATATGTACATAAGTGCATAAATATGCATAGGAATGTACATATATATTTACAAAGATATCCACAAAGCTTAATTCGTTTATAAAAACCTCAAGCCCCTTTTGATGTAAGCAAATGAGTACGTGCATATTTTGAAAATTAGAAGAAGTTTTGATATTTGACACGTAAATAGTATATACCATATGTGTGTAAATACAATACATATGCATGTACTCGTATGCAATAATAAATTTTTATTTGGAGCGAATACACTCAAATTTAGTTTGTAAAAAATGGTGTATCTACAAAAATTGATGAAATGGACGTTTTTGAAAAACACCAACTGACGTTTTACAAAGAAGGCATCATTTTACATTTCATTTGTTTTAATTCTTTGAAATAAGCCCTCTAACGCTGTTAAGGTATGACTAGTCCGAGGATACTAACATTATAGACATTTTAATTATTTACATCTAAAACTTTTCTATGTATATTTATGTGTATTTTAACAACGTGTGAAAATTGTGCGTACATGCATATGTATGTATGTATGTAAATGTGCAAAGATTTAAGTATTCAAGTATACTATATGCTGATAGCAAAATTCGTTAAGCAAATAGCATACAAACTCTCCTTGAAAAAATTTTAAATTACGTAAATTGTAACACTTAGGCAATCGGATTTTACTACGGTTATACATATATGTATATATGTTTGTTGAAAAACTTTTAGTGCTTACAAATGCATCTATTTAAAACTGCACTACTGTATAAGCACATATGTTGTATATATACATACACACAAAAATATGTGTGTTTAGGTAGGTTAGTAACGAACAAGTGATAACAACCGGCTGCTAACTAATATGTAGTTGAAATTTTATTTTGAGTGACATCAACAAGGACGTTGACCACATCTCACATTATTTTACTTAATTTTTTTTTATTATTTGCTAATATTTGCATTCAAAAATGTTAAAAAATATTTAAGTAGAATTTGTCTAGCTTTAAAGATACCACGAGGCAATTAATATTTATCATTGAATAAATAATTTGTAAATTTGTGTGTATGTATGTGCATATGTACATATGTATATGCACGTAAAACCAATATTTGTATGCAAACACGATATTATATATGTATGTATGCTGGGGTCATTAGCCACAGTATGCACACAAGGGTTTTGTAAATATAAATATTTTTTGTTTACATTACTTTTCTTTATAAAATTTTTGAAAATTTACTTTTATGAATAAAATACACCAATTTATTAGTTACCTAAAAAACTATTGATTTTCCCAGTTAACCTTAAGTTGGTTAATTTATGTGAATTGTTAAAGGTGCCGGTGATATAGTCAAATGGTCAACTTTTCTCTCTCCTTAAGCCCGCCAACAATTTGTGGTATCGCATTCGTATTGCTTGCGGAGAAATGCTAATAAATTCATAAGAAAATGGCTAGTATTGCGTGTTGCACACTTTTAGCTTTTAACAGCCGGTAATAAAAATCCTTACACCCACTCACACACACACACACGCTGCTATGAAAAAAAAGAAAATATCGCATGACGAGCGTTAAAGTTGACTTTCGTTTTGCTGCTTTCTTTCGTTCTCAAAAAGATTAATGAAGTTAAGTCAACTGTTGGAAAATTTACTTTTTAACGTACATATATACTAATGTATTATATATACATATGTTGTATATACAAATGTATGTATATATATGTATGCATCTACATTTATTACCGCCCCCCAATTCTGTAGGCACCAGACATTAGCGCTAGTGGCATATTCGAATTTGAATATAACAATAACAATAATAGAAAACGTGTTCATGAAGCTTTAGAACTTCACACGTAAGCACAATGACGTGGTAATATTCACTAACAAATGTATGTATGTATATAAATTCTTACTGAGCATTTATGTAATTACTATATACATATATATGTGCATATATGTATATGTATACGCTTGCAATAATAGCTATGACGACAATGTCATCACCACCTGCCCACTCGTGACGCTCTACTCAAGAAGTGCTTACTTCATTTAGTAAATGCTTAGACTTGGTTTAATTATACATTGTTAATCAGTGTGGCCTTTTTACATACACATACATGTATGGATATTTATTTACATTTAAATATTTTCGTTTTCTTGCTTAATTCGTTGCCAAACTGGAACGGGTTTATAGCGTTGGTTCACGCGCTATGTCATGCTAAGCAAACACTAGGGTTAGCAAATTTATTTAAAAATATCATTATCACTGTTGTTGCATTAATTTTCGCTCTCCTGAGCATTTCATTTTTTTTTTTTTTGGAAATTTTTGCATTTGCTTCTTTCAGACTAAATAAATGTTAGCGGAAGTTTTCTATTTCGACTGTTTGTATGAAAGCTTTGTTGAAATAAAACTTGCGTATTGGATTTTATATACAAAATTGTTGAATTCAATAGTTGGCCAAAGTACATACATATGAACATTTTAGTATTGGGGAAGCTACTCAAACTAATGATTTTTTCGGACTCTCGCCATGTTCGCCAACTCTGATAACAAATCGTAATCCAATGGATTCAAATAAGGACTTTATGGTCTCCATCGAAGAGAGTTTTGCTTAACGGCTTTACCACGCTTTGTATAATATCCTGTTGATAAGAAGAGTTGTAACATCATTGCAGCAGACTTTTCGACAAACCATTGTAGCAGTTGGATGATAACCACTCTGAGCCCTTGGATTAACAATTTTTACGTCTTTGGAAGCTTATGCGTGGATTTAGTGCTTTTGATTATTAGAAATTTCCACAACAGTGAATAGTTGCTTATCTGTAAAAGGCTACTTTCAAACCTATTGACCACTGAAGAAGCCGTTGCTCTGCGAATGGGGCTACGGGTTTTAGGCTTTAATGGCGTTAAGGTAAAGCTGACGTAATAGACGAAAAAATCCAATAGTTTCTGCGTAAGTCGGATCTTTTTGGGTTTTTAGTTGGCAATAGACTGTCACTCTCGCAATGTTTACGTAATATAAATTTACAGAGTATTTTTGCGGTTACAATGATTAATTTGTTAAACTAACCATTTTTAACGGCATTCCTTATTACGTACCATTCCTAACCAATTTAATTGCAGCACTTTTCCTCTAAATAACTTAAATATTCTCAATTCAGCAGTTCATCCATTAAATAAAATGTATTCGTTTTGTCTCTTTGCAGGCGCTCGTTATAAACGTCTCCAGTATATTATTCGATTTAATATGCATAATAGTCTACTTTAATTGGATGAGTAAGTTTTTGTGTTTGATTTATATTTGATTGTCTTAATCTAAAAAAAAAAAAAAACAAATACGTTCCCTGCTTTTCAGATGGTTGGGCGATGGTTTTCTCCATTATTAACTTGATATTACGGCCCGTAACTGTTGTACTACTATACCGTGAGTTCAACTCACGCGGTGGCAGCCTACAAACGGGTGCCGTTTTCCCCACCACACAACAGCGCACCTATCAGGATATTGATCGGCCAACACAACCAACGCCAACGAATTCCCAACCTGGTCCAAATGTTGCTAGCATCTTCTAGAAATTTGCCGCAAATCAAAGGATTGTGCGTTAACAACGGTATATATCCAATATAGCTTCGGTTTAATTCATTTAATAATCTAATCCCTATGTGTGTGTGTGTGCTACCATAAGTGATAGCAACAAAAATGGGTTTATATCTAGTATTGTAAAATCAAATTACTTCCATTTAACAAAAATTCTTACATTTCCTTACATGTGAAGCCTCTTTGTACGTATGTGTGCAAAGTATAAAGAGACGTTGTTACATATGTATTGCCTTGAAAGGGCTCGAGTCAGTGTGATTTATAATATTGAGCGCACATATAATCAAGCATATGTTGCGCGACATATGTTTTTTCTTTGATATTTCGGTATTAGCATTTCCTTTTTATGTGTTAAACGAGTTTTTCAACTTGAATCTTTAAATTATTACTGTTATAATTACGCCCAATGATAATTTCTGGAAAAACGGTTATAGACTTTCACGAAAATTTTGTTAACAACTGATATTTACATACATATATGTAAAATAATAACCATATACTCAATAGTACATCATTAGTAACGAAATATTGCATACTTTTAGGCGCACAAGTTTATAATATGAGGCTTAGAGAATTTAGCAGCGCCGCTGCATTTAAACTTCTTCAAATGATTCTTCAATTTTACATATTTTTATAATGATTTTCCAAAAAAAAAAAATCACGAAAAGTATGTGCTCTTTTCCTTTCCATCTGCCAACAATATTAGCGTTCATCAAACAACAATACACTCTATTTTTATTGCTTGCATATGGTTTGGCCAGTGCAAACGAGAAAATTGAAAAACAGAATGAGTTATCATGATTTCTTTCGGACTCTTAAGATAAGTCAAATATGTACCTATGCAAAAACAATCGATAAGAGAGGTTAAACAATATTTTGAAGGTTAAAAAGTAATAATTAACGGTTATGAAAATAATATGTTGAAAACGCATCCGAAAACTGTAACTAGGAATTTGTTAAGCAAGCGTTAGTCCAAAGTCAGTTATGCGCTTAGTAATTAAAAGAAAAATATATTTTATATTTACATACATACAGAAATACTACAATACATACAAATTTGTTAATGGTATTGTATAAGGCACGTTGGAGCAGCTAAAATTTTTACTTATGTATCTTTAATACTAATTTGTGCAATAAAGTACTATAATGATAATGAGAAACAAAAAGTACAGAATATTTTTACTTCAGCAGCCAAAAATGGGAATTAAAAAAGTAAGTAAAATACTGCAATTGGGTGTGGATTTATCAGCTCGTGAATAGGAAAAGCAATCAAAATGTGAATATATTCTAAATTGTCATATGGTAAATAGAGAACTTCAAATAAGTGCATATATAACTGTGCTCCCGCTGGTCGCAGATCTCTTAGGATAAGCATGCTTATTCGCCGGGCCGATGGGTTTCAAGGATTTCGCCTTCCCGGTAACCTCATGCAAATCTTACCTGGAGAAATCAAACACCGCGCTGGGCAATAGGCGCTTCATTTAATTTACCGAAGGTTGCAGTGCATTTATGAGCATAATTAATGTTGTTACTTTGTGTCTCCTTACCTTTAAAACTCGATACACGCCATTTTCATAAATAAATTAGAGATAACATTTTATTTTTCTTTTATGAAAAAATATAAATAAATAAAAAATCTGTATTCTTACTTTATCTTCGTACTTAAGTGCTAACAAAAAATTATAACAAAATGTTATACAACAAATAATGTTTAGTACAAAAACAAAATACCATATTTTACACAAGTTTGGCTGATTCCCACCTCAAAAATTTTATACCGTTTTTCCCCCTAAAATTGTGCCATTTTTCGCCTGTTCACTTAGAAACCCTCTTTCGCCGCACGGAAGCGATATTTGTCATTGCTGCCAGCCAAGCAGGGCACTTGCACCAGATTGAAGTAAATTGAGCCCATGAACTGTGCCGCCGGTGTGTTGGCACTTTTGAGACAGGAGTAGAGCATATCATCACATATACAATGGGACCTAAAAGAAAAGAGGTTAAGGTTTGATTAATTAATTATTTCTGCAATAGATGGGTTTAGCGATCTCTATCTCGCGGCTATCGTCGATTTCGTTTTGGTAATTTTGGTGTAAAAGACCTTTAATAGTGTGGTCGGTCAATTGTTGTAAATGTCGATAAAATAATGGAAATCATTAAGTCCGGCCGTCCTGAAAGTACTGCCATGATTGTCAAGAAACTGAACATTGCTAAAAAAAATAGTTTGGAACCACTTCAAAAAGGCTGGATACACTAAGAAGCTCGATTTATGCCACGTGAGCTAACGCGAAAAAACCTCGTTGAACGAATTTCCACCTGCGAATCGTTGCTCAAGCTTAACAAAATTGATCGATTTCTGAAGTGCATGATGATGATGAAAAGTGGATCACTGACAGGAACGTCAAATGAAAACGATTTTAGTCAAAGTGCAGTTAGCCAGCCCACAGTCTCCACGATTGACGGCCAGGAAGATTTTATTGTGTATTTTAACTACAATGAACTGTTTCCCTTCGGCCAAGCGCTTAATTCGGATCTGTGCTGTCTGCAATTGGACCTTCTGAAGGAAGCAATCGTCTAGAAACGCCCAGCTTTGGCCGATAGGACGGGAATTGTGTTTCATCAGGACAACACCGGACCACACACACACTCGATAATGACTGGCCAAAAGCTCCGAGAGCGCGGCTGGGAGTTTCTATATATCCACCTTATATTCCGGACTTCGCAGCAAGTGACTAAGACGAATAATTTCCAATTTTTCGCCAATAAGTACAAGGATTTCTATGATAGAGGCACATTACCTACAAATGGCAAAGGTAATCGTTGATTCTAACTATGCGTTCAATTTAATGCAAAAATAATGGATGACTTTTTACTTGACCTAAATATGTACATATATTTAATGAAAAAAATGGCGCTTTGTAACCACTGAATTTTAGCCGAGCGCCTCCTCCAGTTGGTGACTTTGCGTCTTGATGTTTTTCCAACAAATGGAGGACCCTAAAATTTAGTCTAAGCCACCTCCGAACGGCTGATTTTTATGCGGAGCTATTATTTCAATTCAGAAATACACTCGGGCTTGTCATTCCCTGCCGAGGAGCGACCGCAATTAGAAAAAATTATTATTCTATTATTTGTGGATGTTGGTCGGATGCTGGTCTTCCTGATGGCAGTACGCAGTACTAACTAATACCTGCTGTAAATATATTTATTTTTTTACATATTTAGTTCGATTTACTCACTTTGTATATAGGGAATCATTCATCAGATCGTATTTATTTTGATAGGCACGTAGTTTCACGGGACACAAATCGTGCTGGCGACAGCACCGATCCATATCCATTTCAGTGCCCAAGTCGCTGTAGGTTTCCGCAATGTCGCCGGTGCCACACCATTTTGTGCCTGCGGAATAATAAATTTCAAATAGATCGTATTCGTGGCATTTTTAAATATGTAAATGAAATGAAAAAAAAAAAAACATTAAAAGGTGTGAACGCTTAAGGCGTGCGCACATATACTCGTACATACAAGCGTATGAGCGATTTTTTGCTCGTACATACGTGTATGTACATATTTCATTTGCATATGTACATATGTACATAAGTACTTCATTTACCTGGTATTATGCCGCTCAATAGCGAAAATGGACTTTTCGGAAATATGTTTGCTGCCAAATTGGAAACACCATTATTCGTTGAACTATCGTTGCTCGCACTGACATCTATGGATTTGCCGCGACTTCGTGACGAATACGTTAATTTGTCGACACGCTCGCATTGATTCATCAGTTTCAGCATTTCGTCGAATGTTATCCGTAGTGGACGATTGTATTTGGAGAGTCCTTCCAGCAAGGTTTTTCCATCGTTGTCATTACTTGTGTGTGAGGAGAATGAAAAATAAACAAATTTATGTTATTTAATAGTATTTGTGTGCAAGAATATAAATTTAGTAAAAAATATGCATATCCTTTATGCATAACAAGACATCTATGCATGACTTCGCAACTGAAATTCTTTTTAACGACTCAACCGATTTCGGAGGCATTTGCGGTGTGAGTTCGAATGAATAGTTTCGATTAATTTTGCTTCCAGGAAGTGGATCAGAGGTCCACCTATGTATTCGAAAAAAGTGGGTTCGCACGATTGATAGGAAATTCTTCATTTTCACGGAAAAGGGTGTGATAGCAATATCTTTGGAAAATAATTTATAGCTCGATTTACATGAAAAACTGTACGAAGGTTTAATTTTACCTAACTCAACTCATGTAGTAACTTTTCCCCAAAAGTGGACCAGGCAGTTTTTTCACGTGGAAGGTTTCAAGATCGGGTCGATGTCCAGAGCATACTTGCTGCATTAAGAGACACTTCGCCGTCCTACTGCATGAATGCAGTGAAAGCGCAACACCCGGAGATGGTTAACCCGAAACTAAAATCAATGATGATTGAAAATATCGCGCTTCTCGAATAGCAATTGGCCGCTAAAAGAACAATAAAACGGCTGGAGTTGATTGCTTACCGGCAGAGTTATTCAACCATGGCGGCTGTGCCTGTATCAGCTTCTATGCAGAATATGGTCGGACGAACACATTCCCGATCTAAGTTCGCCCTAAAAGGAATTAGCCTCTTAAGGTCGACCACATTGTGAGCCCATCGTCAAGAAATTCTTTGGACCTTATCAGTGTGGCTTTTATAGCTGCCTTCGCCAGCATAATAAGCAGCTGCCTTTACGTCTCTATGTTTGCATTTCGTATTCCTGCGAAACTTATTCGGCTATGTAGACTGCGGCATGACAATAATAGAAGCGTAGTTAGAATTAGGCACACCCTCCCCGAACCGTTCGGTAGCAAACGAGGTTTCAGACAAGATGTCTCTTTAACGTGTGATTTCATCAATTTAATGCTGGAGAAAATAATATTAGCTGCAAAGCTACAAAGTTAGACAAAGTTACAAGAGTGTACAACTCTTAGCATATACCGTGTTTTCTTGGCCTTAACAACCACGCCGATAGTTCCAGGCTTGATAAAGAAGCAAGGCGAATGGCTATGATACCTGTTGGTGTTACATGCAATATCACCTAGGAGAACACTTATAGTACTGGGGCAAATTCAACGTAGCTATTCTACCAAAGTACTGTGTGTCAGCGAACATAATTTTGGATGGACCTCTAAAACAAAAGTAAAGTAGATCCTGTGCAGAGAAATATGGAACTATGGAGCATTTCTTTGCAAATATTCCGTATTCAGCCGATTGGAATGGGAAATCTTCCACCCGGTGCTCCGAGCTCCAGCTTCATTCATGAAGATGAAACTAAAAGAATTTATTGAATTGGGCGAACCGTTCGCAAAAGCATAATAAGCATAACCTCTACTCTGTGGCTTAGGTTAATTCAGGATCTTAACCTTCCCTCTCCACCAACAAACAAGCCATTCAACATTGATGTATACTTCTCGAGAATGTCATCATTTAATTCCATTTCCTATAAAACCGTTACTTTCCTTAAATTGTTCATTTACACTTTTACATAATTTAAGTTAAATATACATATTTTAAATCATATAATAATTGCCTCAATATATTCCTCATAATGAAGAGAGAGCCAACATCGCGTGACACTAATTCATAATTATAACTTCGTGTTGAATCTAAATCAATTTATTGGTAGTAAAGAATGTCCATTGGTGCAGTCGTTAATTCGTTAAAAACTCGAAAGCTTGTTAATTAATTAATGATATTTAAGCGCATACGAGTAAATGAGACATTAATTGAAAACTTTTTAAAACAACTCTTGTCCTTTTAACTAAATTTTACTGCTCTTAAATATTGAGGTAACCGGCATAGGCGAGTGAATAGCTGCACCTAATACTTATATGGTCGCCCCTCGGCATGATATATATAATGTAATTGGTGCTTTGTAACCTCTCAAGCGATTTTCGGCCGAGCTCCTCCTCCAATTTGCGGTTTTGCGTTTTGATGTTTTTCCAACAAATGGAGGGACCTACAGTTTGTACTAAGCCGTCTCCGTACGGCTGATGATTCTTTTATGAGGAGCCTTTATTTCATGTCCGAAATACACTCAGAGGGGGGATATTCCCTGCCGAGGGGCGACCGCAATTAGAAAATTTAACTTAACTTTTTATTTAAATTAATTTTCTATAACTTTTGGATGTTGGTCGCACGGCGATTTGAGCCCGAGCCTTCCGAATGGCAGTACGCAGTGCGGCTTAAAACTGAAAAAAAATGTCGATGTTCATTGCCATTTCAATGATCGTAGTTTCACACGGGACAGACGGTTTGCCAATGTCGTGAAAATATAAACCGCGAATTTCAAATTCTTTTACTACATCTTTTAACAAACTTAGTCCTCACTTTCTGAGCCACTTCCAGGAACGAACAGAACAGTAAACAGGTTAAGAGAGACTTCAGACTGTGATTTTTTGATCTCATAGCCCGATTTTCTAGTTTGTAAAGGTACAGGAGAAGTCTGTCTGTTGCGAAGGTTTATTAATAATACCCAAGATATTTCACGTTTATTTTTCGTATGAACATTGTTCCTACTACAAAAAATAAAAAAGATATATACTATACATTGTCATTATTAAGTTGTTTCTCTCAGAGGTACAGGAAAGAAAGATTCGCAGTTATTAAGGTCGGGGCGAGACGACTGAGACTTATAGCGTTTTTAGTCTTTACTTGCAGAGGTCGAAGTTCGGTTTCTGAGAATGGCTCTCACTGAGAGAGTTCTCTCGTTTACAAAGTTCTAACTCAATCAGGTTTCACTGATAGATAAGGAAATGCACCGTTCACGCGATTATAGTTGTATCATCAATAGCGCGCCATTCGTTCTTTCACTTAGCCGGTTGCAAATACAAGGTCGTCTCCAACGAAATGGAGATCTGTCTCTACCTCTCATTACACCAGCAGGCACTGCATCGATTATTTCCCAAGTTGGAATTCGCATTTGGGAGACATGATAGACCAAGTAATGGGTGAAGCGTGCGGTCTGACCCGCCAACCAAAACAACGTTTTTGCACGATTTGCGAAGGTTGTTCCGGAGTAAGTCTGTTCATCAAAAAATGGCAATCCAAACATAATGTAAATCAAGTAACAGTTGTCAAAAGATTCTACTCCGAAAATTAATTGTCTCGTTAAAGACTACGCGTATAAAAGAACACCCTCAATACATAAAGATTAGAAAATTTTAAATGAAACTTCTAAAAAAATATAATTTACGCAGGTCCGATGACTAAATATTTTTTAAATGGCGTGGAATGTATTTGCATACATAAAATGTATATGTATATGTATATAGTAATGTTGCTGATGTAGTTATATACGCGTATTGTCTTTTGTTCCCACTTAAAAATAATGGAAATATAATAAATATTTTCTACATTTACCTTTGCTTCATTGCAGTTGACATACATGCATGTTTTGTACATACATACATACAATAAACGCACTCCTAGTTATATTCTCAGCCATTTGAGCATTTCTTGTGAATTCTAAAAATACTGCACTATGCAATATCTAAAGCACAAATTGTTGTAGTTGGAGAGTGTATGCATAACACATTGCATTGATAATATGAATTCACATCGGTATGTTAGTACATGCACTTACATATGTAAGTTCTCGTATGTATGTATGTACATATATGTATGCATTTACAAAATAGTGTCAATTGATTTTTAATTGTTTGTGAAATGAGTTTGCAGGCACACATGTACTATGTATGTATGTATGTATGTATACACATACATTTTTTAAATTTAATTTTAATTTTATTTAAAATTATTTTATTGACATATAAACTGAAGTAAAATTAAAAAGTAATACTCACTAGATCTCAATTAATTCGCAACCCAACAACAGCTTCTCAGGCCCCAATTCGGTCACCGCTATGGTCGAGTCATGATAATAAATCATTATTAACGATTCATTTGTGAGCCGCTTGCCGCTGTAAAGTAAGAATTACGAAATAGACATTAAATATTATAAAAAAAAATTAATTTTCATATAATTTTTACAATTTACAAGTCAAGCCTTATCAATGTGTGAGAAGAATTACTTTTTCATATGATTGAGCAACGCTCTGGCGTAACTCAAAGTTACACAACTTTCATTTGAGATTTATCGGACAGAGTGCGTACATGTGAAATATATATTTATGGATGTGCTAGATTTATTGACATACATGCTAGAGGAATTGTGGAGAATTTCACTACACCTAAACAAATATTGACAAATAATAATAATTGAGAAATTATAGAAATCTTCTATACATATACATATACATAAATTTCTCTCTTATTATTTATTTCAGAATTTTTGCTAATTTTTTAGGAAAATTGTACTATTTGCGGTCGCGATAGCCGAGTGGTTAGCATCGCGTATTGCCATTCGGAAGGCCAGTGATCAAGTCCTGGTCCGACCAACATTCAAAAATTATGGAAAACTAATTTGATTAAAAAACTAAGTTAAATTTTCTAATTGGCAGGGAATTTCAACCAATCCACACATTAAAAAAACCATCAACCGTTCAGAGCCGACTTAGAATGAGCTGTAAGTTCCCCTATTTATTGCAAAAATATCAAGACGCAAACTCACAATCTGAAGGAAGAGAACAGCCGAAAATCCCTTCAGCGGTTACAAGGAGTCAGTTATATATATGTATGTATATGTAAGAAAAAATTTCTTTTTAACGATACCAAGGCACTCCCGAATAGAAAGCCCAATCCGAGTTCTTGAACGATTTTTTATGCTCCATTATGTATTCAGCCCGAGTAAAAGAAGAATTTTTGGCATTCACAGTTTGGCAGCTTCAATTGCAGTCTTTCCACCAGGCCGCAAATTATATTTTTCAAACACTCTTCAAAATTTTTTTTTAATTATTTTTATTTTTAAATATAATATATATATTAGTATTTAATGTACGAGTATATTTTCAGTCTTCAATCGAAATTAAAACATTCAAACAAAATATTTACAAAATATTTCCTCATTAAGCATTTCTTAAATTTATTCCGCTTGCTATTTATATTGTGTGATTTAATATGGCCAACAACTGCCTGGAAACCCTGAAATGCGAGCTTCAACCCCACCAGCCATGTTCAACCGACTGGCTCTTTCTCAATGATTGGATCAAAGACAAAGGGAGCTCATTTTTTAGAGGTAGCATTCGAAATTTACCAGAGAGATGGAAGGAAAATAATCGCTATTTTTTACTTTTTTTCAAGAAAAAAATCCTTTTTTTTTGAGCACCGCATTAATATTACCCAATAGAAGAAGAAGAAGTTGCCTTAATGTTGCATATGAAATTAAAAGCGGTAGCATCAGTTTTAACACTTTTTTCGAATAGCTTATGAAAAACATACCCTATTTTCAAAATAGCTTTAGCGAGTTTCTACAGCTGCATTGTAACTCCTTGACCTTAGATCGAGCCAGCAAAACCCCAAATATTACCTTTTAAGATGTACAAACTACTCTCCACTTTCTTTTAGACAATAGAAGGCCTACATATCACTCTCTTTATATTTAAGTTAAATACCGCCCAATAGTCTCAGATTACAAACTAAACTGGTGCCAAAATACGGCAGAAAGAACAAGGAATGCTATACTGTATATTGTCCACTGGATATAAATGTACAGCGGTAGCTATATCCATCATATTCTACGGCGACTTCATTTTATGGTCGGCACTAGATGAAATTGCCTTTAAACACTGGGCAGAGTTTACCGGTCCGCAGCTGAGTTTATAACGGGAGCTCCTCCATTGTCTTTGACGAAAAATTCTCCCGTACTTTCGTCCTCTACGTCCAACTACATACATACGAGCTGCAACGCAATTAGACTGAATGCAACTCAGCCTTATAGGTGTTGTAGCCCCTGGTGGACTAAACTACAGTCTACGATAATGCAGTAGACCGTGATCTGAGTACCCAGAAGTAACGATATAACGGACAACTGTGTGGTAAAACGACTAATAGCGACGTATGACGTGCAAAGCAGATTTGGCCAACCCTAGACGTTAAGAGGTCAAGAAATTCTCTTCATCTCAATCGGTTCTCCATCAATACTATAACTGGCATAATACCAGGGCACAGTTTAAAGGGAGCTCACGGAAATAGATTGGAGTACTACTTGAATGTTGTTGTCCAGCAGTAAACTACACGCGACACCCGTTTATCGGAAACTACTACTTGATCTGCATCGGTCATCTAATCATAGCAAACATAAGGCAACCGCAATTCGAAAAACAAATTGGATGATTTGATCTGGACTCGTACCCTGGCCATCCGAATGTTAGTTCGCAGTGCTAACTACGCGGCTACTGTGGCTGCTAAGGGATAATAACACTCCATCTATACAAGTTTTCTGCGCAGTACCTGTTGGTGAAAACCATGGAAGGGGAGGATCTGGAATTTGTAAGAAAATTAAAGTGGAGGATTGGTAATATTCAAGACCAATTGGCGCAAAACAGCAAAAATAAGGAAGGAATGGCACACTGTTAGTAACTCGTCTTTAATCGCGAAAGCATGTGTCATTCATTATTTAGGCCTGCTGGATTTGCTATTTTTAAGTTGGTTAACATAAAAGAGCTCGCTTTGAGTACGACCAAATCTTGTTAATAACTTTTAGTATTCACTTCACTTACCTGTAAGTTTTCATCTGCCGCAAATTTCGACTCTCGAAGTACTGCTGCGTGAACGAGGCGATAGATGGGAAACCCTGAAAACTTTGTGGCAAACTAAAGTTGATCGTAGGCTTGGCAACGACGCTGGTGACAAAGCCACAAATCACAAACAAAACCACACAGAGCACATTTCCAACCAGGAATTTTAACATTTTTCCAAACTGACCGGCGAGTTAAGTAAATACTCTAACAGTAACGAAAAAACACTCGTACACACAGTGGATGTTGCAAGGTACCCGTATGTATGTATGTATCACTTGTATCACGGCACGCGTTGTTACGTTTCGAAGGCGTTACAATGGAATAAGCATCGCATTGAAATTGATTAACACAAAACTAGTCATTTACGAGTTGACGGAATTCATTCAAATTCCCGCTCACATATCTACTCGCATTTGCTTGTTCGCTTCTATGTATTAAATGTGTACACGTTTGTATTTTATTTCTAAAATGAAAGTAAGAACTATTTGATTGCATGCACCGTTGTTGTTGATAACGATTATGATTTATAACGAATTAGCATTCCAATGTAAATTACTACACTGTTTTTATTTAAAGTTCAACTATCAAACAATATTGAATTTTTTTAGTTTTATTAAAAAGCAAATTCATAAAAGTTGCTCAGTAGCGCTGCATGTGTTGCTTGTCTCAGCTGTGGCGCCACTGAAGGATGGCTCAGAAGAACGGTAAAGGATTTCCTGCCGTATTGTTGATTGTTTACATGTACGTATGTACTTATGCATTTATATACATACGTACGTACTTGAAAGGGCTTTTATAATTTCATTTCAGTAAAGAAGGTTGCGTGAATATTGCTAATATCCCCAAGGTGGGCATGTAAATATTTTATTATGTGGCAGTTGGCAGATGACAGGTGTTTCGAAGTTCTCAAATGATTGCACAAGCACGCAATAGTACCGAATTAGACTAGTTTTACCCGTTGACCTAAACAAGGTTAGGTCACTGCTCCACCTCCAACAGAAGAAGTTTCCCTAACCTCGTATGCTGATGATTGCACGATAATGGCAACTGGCCAGGATATTGATGACCTCTGTTCGAACTGTTCTGCGAACTGCTACCTTGCCGATCTTTCTCACTTCTTCCTCGGCTACCCTCTTCACCAGCTGGACGAAGGAATACAGGCTTGAACTAGATATGAAGGTCGATGACGTAAAAAATCCGACCTTACACAACCCAAAGATATTGGGAGTGAGACTAGACAGCCTGCACTCCTTCACTCCGCATACGACCGCAAAACTCCAGAGCCGCAACAAAATACTCAAAGCGCTAGCCGGCAGCACCAGGGGTAAAGGCAAAGAAACTTTGCTGACTACTCATAAAACCGATCGTAAACTATGCTAAATTGGGGCGCCGGGGGCGAACGAGACGCAGATGAAGAAGCTACAGGCTTGCCAGAACACCGCCCTCAGCACCGCGACAGGAAACCTCCTGATATCGCCGGAGCATCACTTGTACAGCGAAGCATCCATGCTACGAGTTAAGGAGCATAATGCTTTGCTGTGCAAGCAGTTCCTAGGCACCTAATAGAAGCTGAACCTCCACCCAGGCACAACAAAAAAGGAGTGCTAGATCTTAAGGACACAGTCCAGCAGCACGTACCACAACCGCTGAACAGGACGGCGTACATACAAGCACTGAACGCCATTCACAAGGAGTCAGTCAATACCTTCAAGGACTCCCTTCCAGTGAATGACGTGCTCGGAGAAAAACCACCACCTTTAGCAGACAACGAGCTCGAGCTGCCTCGAGAGATCCGCGTGACCCGCACACAACTTAGGTGTGGATATTGTAGCAGGTTAAACTCCTGCATGTGGAGAGTCTTCGCACGATACTAACCACCTCTTCAAATGCCCCCTTATCCCACCTCTCCCTTTGGTCGAATCCCCTCGAAACAGCTCGTTTCCTGGACCTACCACTAGACGACCTCGGCAACTTAGATTAGTGAAACCTGTACCTAAGCGGTGTTAGCAAACCGCTACTAGAACATCAACAACACCGAATTTGAATTGTATCACCAAAGTATGCATAAATCGCATAGACGGCATTGCATTTATCTTATCGTTTTAAACTATAGTTTCATATCTGAAAAATCGGCTTGGAAGGACTATATGTTCCCGTGGTCGACTTTCAATGATTTTAATTACAGATGTACAATTCATTATGCGATGTGTGTAGCATACCAAAATGCATGCTCTTTTCACATCGTCGGAATTGACTAAGCTCAGGAAAGTGCTCTCAAGTACCTCTGCCCTCCGCCTGTATGCTGGCAGAGGCACGACGGGCGTGGAAGGTATGTATATGCAGAAGAAGCCGTCGGCCTTCTCATAAATATTCACTTTTCTGATGATTCTCCAAGCACCTCATCTAAACCAGAAGGAAGTGAAGAAGTGCTCTTCCGTTAATATGAAAAGCAGTGTTCTTAAGGTTGGATAATTAGCATATTTCTCACATAAAAAATTGTCCGAAACACATAACCTGTCTTATGGGCAGTATGTTAATAATATTCAAGTTTGTTTCCATGAAGGAAAGGGTATGAATGTCTTCCTTAGATCTTTTGTAACAGTAAATCTTTGACTTAAAATAACATAGACTGGACACTATTACAGCTCGTTTAGAAAGGAAATTGTTTAAACTGTTCTCTTTTTAACAACTTCGAACTATCTAAGGGCATTTTAAATAACATATATGCGTAATAACAGCATACACATTTGTATAGCCGTTTGTATTCGTATATAAACGATCACTTCCGAAGCAATCAATTATTAAATTTTTCGTCTAGACCGTCACACCATTATATGCCATTTAGAAAATTGAAAACAAAGAGTAAACGAGAAACATCAATGGATCGATTGATCACGCTACCAAAAAAAAAAAAAATACTTGTTTATACTTGTATGTAGTAAATGTTATAGCTGAAAGCAGAAGTAAACCGAATCGAAGCGAGGGTCAAATTTGCGTATAGAAACTAAAGAAAAAAAACATAATTAAATATATGCAAAAGCTGTTCATGGTCTCTTGACAGGTGTTTCGTAATAACCAGAATAAGACTAGATAAAACAATTAAAACAAAAAATAAAAGCTGAGCTTTATGCCTTTCACGAAACGTAGCTAATTTGACTGGTTAATTGGCTGAGAATCTGACAGCCAGTGGCTGCACCTTAGCCAATGATCAGGTGCTAGATTTTATGAACTGTTTTTATCAAAAATCACTTCGACATATTAGAGCGAGTTGAAGAGCATTATGATATTCCCCAAAGATAAAAAGCCTTCCACTGCAAGCGACCTGGATATGTTATACTTCCGCTGTGAGATTAAGATATTTCCAATTCATTTCCAGCCGTTTTGTGAATATATATATATATATATATATATATATAATTGGCGCTTTATAACAGCTGAAGCGACTTTCGGTCGAGCTCCATTTCCAATTTGTGGTTTTGCGTCTCGATGTTTTTTCAACAAATGGAGGGACCTACGATTTATACTAAGCCGCCTTAGAACGGCTGATGGTTCTTTATAAGGAGCTTTTATTTTATGTCAAAAATGCATTCTTAGGTATTGACGTTCCCTGCCGAGAGACGACCGCAATTTGAAAATTTAATTTAATTTTTTATTTCATTTAATTTTCTATAGCTTGGTCGTACCAGGATTTAAACCCGTCGCTTCCGTATGGTACTACGCCATGCTATCAACTCGGCTATATACGTATGTTTTCTGTTTTCGATCTCCAAATCTTACCGGCAGGTTATACTGAAAATTTGAACCAGGAACTGGCCTATTTGAAAAAATCATTTTTATAATTCATCCTATTTGAAATTCTTCTGAATTCTGACGTGTTAAAAACTTTAGATCGATATTGCGTAGGTATGCTCGTTTCCCATTATTCCTTTTCTACGGCAGCCGGTTTCAAGCGATTCTCAAACGTTCAACTTGAGTGTGAATAAGCATGGATCCGAACGTGGCGAATATTTTACTTCCAGTGAGCAACGAGGAAGTGACACACACACACACAAACAAGTAGTAACATCAATAATACAATAGAAAAAGAACTAATTAAAATAAAAATTGGACAAAATACAGAAAGCTACAACAATGTGTGCCCGGGTCTGCTGTTGGGTTAATAAAATCGATTAACCAGAAATCAAGTTTGTATTGAGTTTTACAGGCTTTTGGGACTCACAAACTTATTCTTGAAGTAATTAAAAATCCTTCAGAGATATAACATTAACACTTTCCTCAAACCAACAGTGTGGAGAAGCAATAAAAACAAAGCTAAGTTATTAGTAGCAAAAGCTGCAGAGCACCACAAGTTCGACGAAGTGGTAAATATGCATGTTGGCGCTTACTTGTACACGAACTCGATCATAAATCACAAGTAAATACAGGTAGGAGTATGAGTTAATTTAGAGTGAAGTTTCGTTTTTTCGGCCAACTGCTGTTGGAGTGTTTGTACGTACGTTTGTATGTACGCATTCAATGTGTGCTGGTGTGTGTACTTAACAATTTCTTCATGTTTATTTTGTTCATTAACCCTAAATACACACAAACATATGTATGTACTTATAAAGATATGTTTGCAAACATGTGAATAACATTTGCTTCTGCATTTGTTTTTTTTTTTACATTTTTGTTTTCATAATTTAATCTCCAAAGTTTGTATATGGATTTTCGTTTATCTTTTGTTGTAGCATTTTGACTTGGTCTTTTCTTTCTACACACACAAGTGCACACTGATGAGCGAAATACGCATGATATTTCGTCGCCAGCGCCCAAAAATGTCCAAAGTGAAAGTGTAACTTTGGCCCATGCGCACTGGCCATGGCGAATCCGCTGTTGTCACCGGCGGCGGCGGCGGCGACGGCGGCGGCTTAGTGCGCTAATAGCAATCACACACAGAGTCTCAGTTTGGCAGTCGCGCAATGGTTTCGCAAATTGTGCATAATTCGCGAATGACGAAGTGACAAATTTGAAACATACCTGCAAATTACAATCTACACACCCATAAACGCCATCAAAACATATACACGTATGTCACATGTATGTAAATATATGGAGGTAAAGTACATATAGTTTGTAGGCTGCAAGTGAGATTGTCTCTTAAAGCAGACGCTGTGAATAACATTTTAATTGCAACTTCAAAATTTTAGGATTTCATTGAGTTAAAAAATCAACAGTCACCGCAGCACTTATGTACATACATACATTAGAGAGTGAAATTGCTTGCAGTTGTTGTGATTTTGTGTTATTTATGTCTTGTTTAGAGACTGACATTTGGCTTCACGGTCTGTCGGTCAGTTAGTCAGACAGTCAGTCATCAAGACTCGTTGAAAAGGTAACAATGCAATTGTTTGCAAAGCTTAACAACTGTACTACCGGATATTAACAGTTTTGTGTTCACATCCATATATATATTACACTTTGACG